GATGTCAACGTACATGTAATTTAAACCGTAGGAATTAAATGCCTCTTAATTCTATACAAGTTTATGAAATTTTTTATGTTTGGAGAATCAACTATATGGGTCATTTTACTTCGTCATTTGGGAATACTTATATTATCTTAGTTGTGGATTATATTTCTAAATGGGTGGAAGCTAAAGCCACTCGGAATAAGGATGCTAAAACTACATTTAATTTTTTGAAAAATATTTTTTCTAGGTTTGGCACGCCACGGGCTATAATAAGCGACAGAGGAACACATTTCATCAACCGAGTAATCGAGTCGCTAATGAAGAAATTTGGAGTAACTCAAAGAATTGCTACCGCTTACCATCCACAAACAAATGGACAGACATAAGTATCAAATCGAGAAATTAAAACAATTATTGAGAAAATTGTTAAACCGGATCGAAAGGATTAGAGTTTAAAATTAACCAATGCACTTTGGGCATATCGAACTGCTTATAAAGGTCCCATTGGGATGTCACCATACCAGCTTGTTTTCGGTAAACCGTGCCATTTACCGATCGAGTTAGAACATCGGGCTTATTGGGTCGTTAAACAATGTAACATGGACATGGATGCAATTGGTGAAGCTCGGAAATTACACATTCAAGAACTTGAGGAAATCCGAAGAAATGCCTATGATAATGCTCGAATATTTAAAGAAAAAATAAAAGAATTTCACGATAGTATAATTTCTTTCAAAAAAAATTTTGTTGTTCAAAAGGTTTTATTATTTAACTCTAAATTTAAATGTTTTGCAGGAAAACTCAAATCAAAAAGGCTCAGACCGTTTATAGTTACTCAAGTATTTCCTCATGGTGCTGTTGAAATTGAAGATAACTCAGGAGTACGATTTAAAGTTAATGGTCAAATATTGAAGCCATATTATGAAAATGCTCTTGTTGGTCTAATCGAAGAAATCAATTTAGAGGAACCCACGCTTTGAAAAATCAGGTCGTCGAGCTAACGAAAGCGCTTGATGGGAGGCAACCCATTTCGTTAAATTTTTTTATTTTCATTTTATTTTCAACGAACTTTATTTCATTCTATTTTTTTTAATTTTGAGTTATTTTATTTTATTTTTCTCTGAACAAATTCGAATTTCGATCGAATGTTTCTTACCTTCTCCCGGACTCATCTCGACATGACCATGGTCGCGATCGCCACTAGATTGGGGAGTATTCCTTTTCCCTCTCTTTGATTTTAAATTTTATATACGTTTTGGGGAAAAAACGGAATAAGTGAGGGGGAGGATAAACATGTGTCAAATTTTTCCTTGACTTGTTTAATTGTTTGAAATTGAGTTATTCTGATGTTGATATGTTGGGATCGTTGGTTGCTAGTCTTGAATTTCACTTTATACTCTTTCTTCTTTTTGGATTATGACCATGTTTTTTATCGAATTTAAATTGCATGATTGGTGATTGATATAGCTAGTGAATTTTTGTTGAGTATTGATATCTCATGATTTTGTCGATAGAGATGAACTTGACTCAATGCATATAAATTTTTCTTGTGAGATTTGAGCCTAACGAGCATACATTTTCTTTCTTACTCATTGTTTGACTTGTGAGTGCCGAACTAATTAGGATATTCTAGAACTTGTAATTACAATGCATACTGAGACTACATGTTGAACGTAATGTTTTAAAGTGATTGGGGCACCTAGGATAACCTACTTTTCCCAAAAAGCCTACCCGGTTATATATCCACTAGTTAACCACGTTTGAGCATATATCACTTTCTTTGTTTTACACCTCATAATTAAACCCGAAGCCTTTCTTTTTATTTTTCCTCTCTTTTCGCACCCTTATCGAGACTTGAGATCTTGTATCATTGTTGTTCCACGAAAAAAACCGAAAAAAAAGTTGTTCATTGTTTCGAACAACAAAAAAGAAGAAAAAAAGCACTTTGTTCAAAAAAACAAAAAAATGAAGAAAAAATCGATCGCTTCAATTTCTTTCATCTATTCTTTTTCCTTATTTTGTTCTTCATTGCGCTTCATGTTAATTCATGGATTGTTCTTAATTATTTTTATCTCTTGTTTTGGTATTTTAAACCTTTATTTTCGGCCTTTTCCCTACCCTAACCTAAGCCCCGTTACACCTAGTTTAAAGACCCCTTGATTATTGCATTATGTTCATTTTTCGTAGTGGAGATTGATTGGATTCCAAGCCTATGGTAATATTTTGGTTAGTTTCGGTTTGAACGATTCCATTTAACCCAATCACTTTGAGCGGATATGTGTGAATCATTGTGAGGTATTGAGTCATGTTTCATTGAAGTTGACAATTAATTGTGATATCTTGCTTACTTTAAATTTTATTGGTTGTATCTTTGTTTGATTGTAACTTGAATTCGACAAATATCATGGACTTAGTTTGATTGAAAGTTTGAGAAATAAGTTGAAATTGAATATGACAACTAATGATTTTGATATGTTAATTTAGGAATGCTTTAGGACGAGCATTGAATAAGTTAGGGGAAATTTGATAAGTTCTTACTTTAGTTAATATTTTACTTTTAAATTACTCCTTAATCATTGATTTGTGTGGCTTATTTGTTCATTTTAATTCATTTTTTTACAGGACGTAAGAATCTGAGAATTACAAAAAAATTACACAATTCTACAGATTTTTTTATTTTCCGAATCAAAGCTGGTTGGAATTCGGGTTTGAATTAAACTCAAGTTTAGGATAATATTTTAAACATTATATTTTATCTTTGTATTTTAGTTTAAATAGGTTTTTATTATTTTAATTAAGTTTTATGATATTATTTTTATATTTTATCTTTGTTTTAGGTATTTTAGTTTAAATAGGTTTAGTATTTTAATTAAGATTTAGAATATTATATTATTTTTAGGTATTTTAGTTTAAATAGTTTTAAGTGTTTTAATTAGAATTTAAGATGTTTTAGCTTGTTTTTATGAATTTGAAGGCTAAAAATACCCTCTAAGGGTGAGTCTAAAAACATATATCTCTCATATGAGAATAAAATCTTCTTTCTCTCTCTAGTTTTCTCTCTATTTTTCGCACACTTTTCTATTATGCTAAGTACGACTTTGGTTATGCTTAGCTAATTTTCTTTCAAGCCGAAGACTAAATCGAAGACTCAATTCCAAACGTGTGAATTGTAAGGTACTTAAATCGCTTCAGATTTTCTCTCTGTTTTCTGAGTTTATTTTTCAAATCAAAACGATTTCGAAATTGGTCCGATATTGTTATGGTTAACGTTCGAAGAAGGATTTGCTTATTGAAGCATATTCAACTTCCCGAGAACACACTTAGCAAAATTGTTTGCTAAGAGGAAACTGAGATCGGAATCAGTTGTTATTGAAACGACACAATCCGAGTTGACAGCAAAGAACTGTTCTTGTAAGTTGACGTGAATCTTGAAGTAAAAAATCTATTTCGATGATCCGAGGAATTTGAGACAAAATTGAAGTCTGAGGCTGCTTTCACAATAAGTTTCTCTTTATCTCAATCTCTTTAATTCGTTTTATTTAATTATTTTTCTTTTATTTAATTATTTTTTTATTTTAAAAACAACTTTTAAAATCCCCTTTTATATTTATTACTATTATTATTAATATTTATTATTTTATTATTATTATTATTTTTTTATTATTTATTTTATTTTAATATATCTTTTCAACTTCATCTGGAATTCTATCTTCTTCTAAAATCAATAAACAATTTTATTAAATCATAAAAATTATAGCCCTATGGATCGACCTTGTTTCTTTATACGATATTTTCCTTTTTATTTATTAAGAAGTCAAGAATTATTTTCATACAAAATAACGACGGTTATCATGTATTTTGCCATTCCCATCACCCATCATCCCAATCAAATCTGCCAGGCGTTTGACTTTCATATCTACTTCGGTTTCTTCTATAATCTTCACCGTATCGACCATGGGTATCTCTTCTATGACCATAATAGTGTCTTTTCCTTGAACTCGAACTAGACGAAGCTTGAACATCTTAACTCCAATGTTCTCTTGAGCGTGAAGTACCAAATGTATCATCATTGCCTCCTCTGTCTACAGTAACAGCGCTTTCAAAATTAGTTGTTACACTAGCTGCCTTATCACGATAGCGTCTGCTAGTGTGGCTTCCGCTACCATTTGTAATATTACTTCTAGTTTCTTCATAAGATTCAAATCCCTCGTCCACATCAATAGATGCTGCAATGGAGGTGATTTTTCCTTTAGGAACCTTGAATCCATCGTCAACTTTAGAATGCCCTTGCTTCTATTTAGCACGAATGTCCAATTTAGGCAATAGAGAAATCATGCTATTACTTCTTTTCTAGACAGGTTTAACGAAAGAAGAAAAGGAGAACGGCGCATAAAACTATGTCACTGGACTTGTTTATTTATGGCAATAAAGAAACTGGATTGCATTATATAATAACAGGCAGTTTACTAAAAAATAGGAAGATAAGTGTTAAAAATAATATGGTAAACTACACTTTTAATACCCCAACTATCATTTTTTTCTGCTTTGGTCACCCAACGTTTTTAAAAAAATATTATACCTAACGTTTAGTTTTTGTTTTATTTTGTTTAGCCGCCGTTAAAAAATTTATGATGATGCTGATGTGTCATCATAAAATACTATCATTTCATTATTGAAAAAGATAAAAAATGTTACATCAAAATTCTGTTAATTTTTTAATGGTAGATGATCGAAATGAAATCAAACATAGCGTTAGACATGCTTTTGAAAAAAAATAGTCAAGTGACCAAAATAAAATAAAAGTGATAGTTGGGTATTAAAGGTTTAGTTTCCCAAAATAATAATTAAATTTAAATAAAATTTAAATTAGATTATATGTAATATAAGAGTTACGGTTAAACACTAACTCAAAAGTTAAGGTTAAAAACTAATTCCTTCTTCCCCAAGCAACGAGGATACATATAAAGAGTACAAAAGCTTAATATTCTAGTTTTGATTAGCAGTCTGCAAACATGTTACCATCGTCACCATCGATGCCACCTCGTGGCTTTCACCTATCCATGATACCTGGGATCGTACTTATTCTCAGTATGTTGCTTGTTGTGATGGTAGTGGTTTATTTAAGGATATGTGAAGGAATGCGTCATCATGTTCGCCGGGGCACCAACGGAGACATCAACCATGATATCGAAAGAAGATTTCTGAGCCAGCCATTTCAGCAACAGCCAGACGAAACTTCAAGATCGATGACGATCCGGTACGAGAATGGTGAGCGGCGTTGCACCGATTGCGCTATTTGCTTGGAAGAGTTCAAAGATGGGGATTCTTGTAAGGCTCTTTCGAAGTGTAAACATCTGTACCATCGATCATGCATAGATCAATGGTTGCTTCAGCATAGATCTTGTCCTCTTTGTCGTGGTTCAGGCCACGGTTTTAGGCCGGCACCAAATTCAACCACCAATTAGGATTGAACCAATTCCAACATCCAAATTGATCCCGGATGTACAGATCTGTAATTAGTAGGGTTTTTATTTTATACATCAATGTTTAAAGATTTTATTATTTCGATTCCTACTTCATTCTAATTTGTAATATATAGTGTAAAAATATCTCTCTTTTTTTCATTTATCGAAGTAGTGACACAATGTAAAATGATTTTAGTTTTATATGTTTAGGACCGTTGGATGAGTGAAAATATATGGTTGAGATTAATAGTAGGAAATGAGAATATATTTACAAAAAAAAAGTAAAGAGTTTATCTCAGCCATTTACTTCTAAATATGTCTAAAATTAAAGAATTTTATATTGTGTAAGTGGATCTTAACCTTTAAAAAAACATATATAACTAAATTAGTTTCGTGGTAATATATACTGATATCAATTAATTAGATACTAAAACGCTAATCTGTATTTGCAGTTTGTAAATCAGAATAGATTGAGAAAGACAGAATTCTGCTGTACATGATCACCGAGGGATCTATTTAGGACTGTAAAAAGTTTGAATTGCACTAAATAAAAGCAAACGGTTGAATATATTGTCGGGAAAAAGTGTTGGTGAAAAGTAAATTAAAATTTAACTTAGATTATGTGTGGAATAAGAGTTAAGGTTAAAATTCTTTTCTTCCTTTCTTTTTTATCTAAACATCACTCTCCAAATTATTAATTTACTTTTCCAGATCAAATACTAGATATATTTATTATGAGACAACTTTCTCCACATAGTTTTGTAACACTTCAAATGGCTGTCCCTTTTTCCCATATGTATGGGATAAGGGAGAGGTAAGATAGGAGACTACCCACAACACTTCAAATATGATCTTTAAATGTAATCGAGTTTGCATATGCCACATTTAATCACCGAAATGACCTTAAATTTTACATTTTTTGATGAGACGGCTTATTAAAATTTTTAAACCACTAATACAAGAATATAAAAACATAAAAATACAAGGGGAAAAAACTCATTTATTTTAAAATTAATGCGTGAATAAAATATTTACAACATAACTCAAATAAAGTCATAACATCTATATGCACACTCAAGTCTTTATTAGTATACTTTTGTATTCTTACCGAGATTCTTCTAATGATATCGTTGTTTTATTATAATTCTTAAACATGTAAGATAAATAATCCCAACGTTAGCAAGCTAAGAAAGCTCGTGGTACATATCACTTTCTTTCATCTTTACTTTTTTTCTTCCTCTACCTTTTCTTCTCCAATCGATTTTCTTTCATTTTTAGGTGCTAGATGATTGTTGTGAGATTCACACGTTGATGCAACCGTCGTCGTTCAGCCCCATCAGTCCCTTGAGCCGAAAACAAACCATAAGCATGATTGGGATAGGTTACCAACCCATTTAGCTTCAACCAAACCAAATGGTTTGGGTCAAAGAAAAATGGGCTTACATTATAGCCCATTCACTTTGGTCAATTTTGATCGGTCTTGTTGTCTCAGACTATGTTCAAATCAAACCAAACCAAATCAATTCAACATGGTTTTAACTTACTCGAACCATTTGGCTCTATTTGATCAACCTGACTCGTTTAACTCGATTTGACTGACCTAACCTTTTAAACCGATTTAACCGAGCTCACCTGAGTCAATTTAAGCCAAGTTAAGTCCAGTAGTTGACTGGTGTTTACTTTTCCTATTGACCGATGTTGATTTTAATTACAGATAAAAGTTGACTTTTACTGTTAAGGGTTTAGGAAATAAAACATCGAAATCGAAGCTCTCCTTTCGGAAAACATCGTACAACCTTTTCGGAAATAGAAAATAAAAGTTGACTTTTACTGTTAAGGGTTTTACTTTTGCCTTGTAATATGTTATATAATAATGAATAGGAAAAACGAAACAAAAGGCATCACAAAACTTGAACTCGGGTAACCAGGCTGTGTTATTGAGTTGCATCATGTTTTAGGAGATAGACATTGCTTTTAAATTTTTGTGAAAATAAGATTGTTATAAAATAAAATATAACATTGATTAAAACAAATAAATGTAAATAGATCAAACTATTGCTGTGATGTGTAACAGCTATTGTCTTATCGAAATATTTTAGAAAAACATGAATTTTTAAGGAGCAAAATCAATTTTCAATAAAAAAATGCATAAATTTTTTTAAAACATTTGACAATTTTTAAATTTTGAAGATACATCTGCATCACTGCTTGCTTTGAATTGGCCTACTCAGTTTATTTGAGTGGTCCATCCAGTTTGGGATTTAGTATGCTCGCACACTGATGAAGGTTTTTATGATTAGAATTTAGACATTTATGTAACATGAGATACACGTGGCTGTAGGCTTTTTGGGTCCACATCGTTTATGTAACGTGTATTGTCCGTTAAAAGTTGTTTTATATTTAGACGTTTTGTGCATAAGATGACGTGTATTGTCTGTTAAAGGTGATTTTCCCAAAAAAAAATCACCTTAGGGTATTTTAATTCCCTGTCAGACACTGTTAAGATTATATTTTCTGATCCAACACACTTTACAGAAAGGCATGCCCCCTGTGGCGCCCCCCTGAAACGTGCCTTTGCTGAGTTGGATACATGTGTCTTACGTCACGTAAGGCTATAGCGCGAGGCATGGGCCGCGCCTTTCAATTATCACACATGCATAATACAAGGAGCGGTGCAGGGGCCGCGCCTTTCAATTATCAAAATAAATTAAGAAAAAATCCAACAAAATAAATTTTAAAAAATCCAACCAAATTAATAAAATAAAGTAAGTATTTAATGATAAATAAAAAATTACAATAAAAAAGTCCAATAAACAACTAAATACAAATATAATAAAAAAACAAAATCTATCGATGTCTGCGGTGCGAATGTGTTCTGCAGGGCGATGGCTGTCGGTCTCGAGGAGGATTTCTTCGTATAATTGGTTCTGAGTCCTCGCTCTCATCATCATCGTCGTCGTCGTTGTTATCATCGTCATGAGCAGATACATTTTGTTGATGAGGAGCTGATGACGATGTAGCACCTCCATAGAATAAGAACCATGGAGGTGTATGACTGATTATCCCACCGGCCTGCGAAAACTGAGAAAACTCATAAAACCAGACATCGCCGTGTGTGAAAACTGTACAGGAGGTGTCTGTGTTGCGGCCATGGGTGATGAGGCTGCACCCGTTAAATAACCAGCATATGAACCCCAAGTTGGATCTACAAACATAGACCTATAATATCCTCGAGGAGAGGTCATATAACTCTGTGACAGTGCCAGCGGCGGGGTCATAAAACCAGGTAAAGCCGGCGGCGGCGACATTTGGTAAAGGAAAGGCGGTGGCGACATCATATATGGTTGCGGTATGTAAGTCGCTGGAGACGGTGGCTGCTGCGAAGGTCCTACTGGTGCAGTTGAGGATGAACCAAAAGCACATGCTCTCCGTCCACAAGTCGGGGGACGATGGTGCTGTGACGGTGGACGTCTCTGTCGATGTCGCTGAAAGGTCAGCCCTCGTGCATCCTCAGAAAGCAGAAATAATTTCCCGTTACTGTTAAACTATTGATAATAATCATCACCAATCGTCAATAGGTCATCATAAATGGGCTCTCTACGGGGAAGGCGCCGATGTCGATCCTCCCACAGCACGACCCACTCATGATGCTTCACCAGCCAATCTGTATCTGTCTTGCCGCGTCGATCTGTGCTAGGCAACTCATCCATATTGCGAGGTTCTTCCGAAATTGGTTGAAAACAACCAAATTGCCAGAGCACGAGATCAGTGGAGTGCCACTCGACGATCGCATAACAGATCAAAGGGACCATCGCCATCCAAACATCTGATGGGCGCCTAAACTCAGGTGGGATCGCCATCCTCACATCATCATTAGAATATGACACCCATTCAAACTAAAACAAATATATATAATTTTTATCAAAATAATAATCTAAATATATAACTATAATATAAATCGATTTATAAAAATTAAAATGCATACCTGTGTGCTAGCCTTCTGATCGATTAGCACCCTAATTTTTTTTCTAAATCATCAGGTAGCTCCTGATGATTTTTCCTGTGAGTAGACCACCTATTCAAAGAAAAAAATTATTATACACTGTATAAAATGATTAATATACGAAATCTGTTTTATAATTACCTCAATTGTAGCGGAAATACGAATGGGTTCTATACAACGTGTAATATCCTATAATTGGGGTTAGTGACTAAAATGGAAGTTTTTAAAATTTGAAGTCTGATTTTGAAATATTTATTTTATTATTCAATAAATAACTAATGGAATAAGGGGTATAATGGTCATTTGACAAAGAAATATTTTTATTTTCCCTTATAAAATGAGTAGAAACGTGGAGAGGAGAAGAAAAATTAGAAGACTCTAGAGATGCTTGGCTTTCTTCTTCCTTTCTTTCCGTGGCTCCATTGGTAAGGTAAGATAATGTCAAGTGATTGTTTCCTTTCAATTTGAAGTTGCGTTTAATTCTTGAGATGATAATTAAGCTTAAGGAAAGCTTAATTTGTCTTAAAACCATAAGATGAAGGAGTTAAGAGAGATAAAAGATTTGAAGTTATTAAATGAAATTTTGGAAAAGAGTTGATAAGTATAATTTGAGGTTAAATTTGACTTGTCAAAGGGTTAATTAAGAACTTAGAGGTGATAGAATTGAATTAAGAGCACATAGAAAATTTGATGAAATTCTTTGATTCAAGAATTATGGTGAATTATGAGAGATGGTGAAGTGTTATAGTGTTATAAAAAGTTTTACATATGTATAGATAAGTTTTAAGGTATAAGGAGGGGTTAATAAGTGGAATTTGAGGACAAAGTAGGACATTTTTGTGCTCAAAATGGAATTTCTGGGTTGTGTGCATCGATGCACTCTCAAATAAATAAACATCGAATGCAATTAGTGCATCGATGCATAAGGAGTGCATCGATGCACTCCCTTAAAATGAAAACATCGAATATAATTTATGTACCGATGCATGGATAGTGC